GGTGGGGGGAGAGAAAGAAAGCTATCTGTGAGGTTAGTTAAGCTTTCCTGGGTGAACTTGTTCTACCACTGACAGCATGACAATGAACTGCAGATATCAAATGCATCAATTTCCTAAAGTACTTGACTCTGAAATAGTAATGGTACATCAGGCAGACAGAATGGGAATACTTCGAAGCAGTTACTCGAGAAGAGCAGCTTCAACAGAAATCCATCAACTAGTCTGCCACTTACACTGTTCATGCGCTCCTGGTGCTTATACCCGTACTTTTGTACACCAGTCCTAAACTTCGCTCATTTGAACATTCAAGACAAGCATTTAATCACAAAATTTTGCTACAATCTTCATAAAAACTACATTCTTCTCTTCTATCTTATTATACCCTCAAGCTTCATTTTCAGGCTGTTCTAGACATTAAGTTTAAAACAGAAAAGGAAGCATGAATTTGCACACTTTCAGAAACAATATAAGGGTGAAATTTGGGCACAGTCAACCTCATACATAGCTTCTGAAGCCAGGTAACAATAAAGGCAAACAAGAGAGATTAGTATTAAAGAAATAAAAAATAAATAAAAATTTGTGCCATGCTTAAGTGGCAAGGAGAGTGGAAAACAGTAAGCTGAAGTAAAAAAAAAAACACCACACTAAAACCAGCAAAAAAACCCCAACTTTAATTTCCCTCAAAAATTCCAAGGTTTTAGCCCAAATGTTCAGTTAACTATTGAAATAACTACAGTAATAATTGTTCCACCACTGAGGAGAGTAACTGCTTCACTTGAGGAGAGTATAATTCTTCAGCAGCTAGTTTTCACAATACAAAATTGATAACATTTTAAAGATACTTTAAATCACATTCTGAACACCTACACAACTCTCCAGTGCATTTCATGCTATCATTGGCTGTGTGTGGTAAACATTGGTATGGCTTCCTTTCTAGTACAAGCCCTGCTTCAATTGAATATTTATCTATACCTACAGAGAGAAAAAAAAATCTGTTACTTTAATACATCTGAAATGGATGATTCTGCTGCTGACCACTTAAACAAATAGTAAAATACACCTATTGGATCCAAAACATTATTTCACTTATCCCTTGGAAGTCAAGGTCAGCTAGGGCCTAGTTAACAAACCCAATTTGAACACTGGTTTGCTTCTTCTCCTCCTTTTTCCATGGTAGAGTTGCATCAGCTAGACAGAACTTGTAATTCACTAGGGAATTATTCTGGTCATATTCACCTGGTATGTTTTATTAATAACCAATCTAAACACATAGTTACATCTCACAGCCATTAGGAAATTTTAGGAAATAACTAGTCAACAAAATCAGCCTTCAGACTCTGGTCCTGAGTAATATCAAGTGACCTCTCTGGTTCCCAGTGGTGTAGGTATGCTGCAAAAAAACCTCATTCACAGCCCTAAATATTTGACTAGGGCAAACAGTGCATGACAGAAATGCTTAATTCACATATACTTGCATAAGCTTAAGAGTACCCTGCAAGTTTTCAAGGAACCCTCCTTACTGAACGGGACCTTAAGGCTGTGAATACAAATCTGGGCAATGTAGCACAATACTAGGTGCGAAATGGGAGCTTTTGGGAGTTGTATTAACCCAGAGGGCACAAAGCTATCAGATGTAGTAGAAAGTGCCTGGCTCCTATTGGTATTTCATCTTCATTAAGCACATATTTACTTTAATGGTCAACAGTGATAATCTTTAGGGAAATCTTATATTAGAATAGCAGTTTATAAACAAAAAAGTGAATAAAGAAAAAAGCCCAATTGTTTATTACCCTGAGAAGTTCATATATTGTCAAGTACCACAGAAAAACAATAACAGTGAAGTTCTTTTTAATCCACTCTATATAATACTTTAAAGGGATGCTCATATACAGCAGAGGCAAGAAAACCAGGGAGAGCAAAGATATTCCTCAGATCTGCTACAGCGGGAACCTTACTTGTGAATTTTCAAACATGGAGTTGGAGGAAAAAGACTGTGCAGACTGTGCTCAACAAGGCTAAAAAGAGTGCTAACTTTGCTACAAAGGACAAAGAGAGGTATTCATATGGCAACCTTACCTTTTAAAACCCAAAATGAGGCTGTTTCTAAACTGACGAATATCAATAGGAGGTGTGCTTGCTGAAGACACTGTAAGTGAAAGAAATGGTTCTAAATAGTCATTGTAAAAAAAAAAAAAAAATCCCTGAACTGCAACAAGTCAGTAGGTCATGTAAAAGGGTGTCATTAGAAGAACTGCTTTGTTAGTTTAGTAGATGTTGACAAACTTTCGCAAATCACAATTTCAAATACCAGGGTATCTGAAACAGTCCTGGTTTTATCAGCTCGGCATCTGGTCCATTTCAAAAGGGATCAAATATTCTAAAAGAGATTTTTCCATCTTCATTGCCTTTAATGTCAGTAGTTTATACATTAGTCGTTTATACAAATTAATAAACAGGAGTAAGCATCTTATCTGTAAAAAAAGTACAAGACTGAAAAATATACGACATTTCAAAAAGCAAAACAAATCCCAAACAATCCTAATCAAGAAAACTTGATATATTAGCTCTGGAAACAAACAAAGAACCACCAGAGGCAAATGGTTTACTAACTGTTTCAGACTGAATACCTGCCTTAAAATAGCCTTCACTATTTTGTCATATATTTTTTAATTATTCTTTTTTAAAAAACCACAAAACTACAGAATACTTCCTTAGGTTTTTGCTTCTTCTGGTGCAAACTTCCTGACAAGAAAGAAAAAGTAGTTCCATCTAATGTGGTATCCACTGAATCAAGTTAAACATAAGGGGGAAAAAAAAAGGATACACAGTTCTTAATGTTGATATTTACAATATTGCTTGAACAGAAAGGAAATAGTAAAACTACTTAAAACTAATGCCCCTGAGAGGTCATTTACAGTTATGCCCTATGTCCTCGTCTTTACATCATTTCTTGGCTAAACATTCCAAATGATTCTACCTTGTTTCTCTAGAGTTGCTGTCTCTCATTCCAGCACCATAGTCCAGCAAAGAAAAAAACTGCGGCAGTAGATGCATTTAAATCCTGTATGAAGTTACTATCATCTGACTTCACTATCACAACAGAATTAACCCCTGTAAAAACCTGAATCCACTGGGCCCTTTCAGCAAGGGCTGCAGTATGGTATTGGAAGCTGGGAAATAAAAGGCAGGAGCAACATGCTAAAACCCCGCCTTAGTCCAACTCCAGGTATTAGAGAAAATTAAGAGTTTTAAATGCTGAAACATTTATTTTAGTTTGAAAATCTCAGGTGAAGTTGATTTTGAGAAACCCTCAGTACAAATCCTCCTCCAGTGGTAAATTAAACTTTTTGCTCATAAAAAGACGAGCAGAAAAGCATCTTAGTATGCTCAGCTGCTGCTGACAATCGGCAACCTGGTTTCCTTAGCAACAAACAAGTCTGAGAAAATCAAGAGGCTGACAATGAAGTGGAATGGAACGGCATGATAAAGGGAAAAAGCCGCTCTCATGTATGCTGCCTTATGTGCCCAGATTCCTCAGCTGATGCTGTGTAGTCTTCATCTTGTCAGTAGCAGAAATCTATACATTATAAGGTATGAGAAGCTGAATCAATACACCTAGATAGCAACCAGCATTAATAACCAACCTTTGCCTCCCCTGACTACACTGATGAGACAATCTTGCACTATTTTCCGTACTGCATCTATTTTTCCCTTCTTTGTAACACTGCAAAAGAAGCCAAGTCAAAAACAACAAAAAAATCAGCTGTTTAGTATCTGTGCCTTATCATTACTTAGGTGCTAATTAGATTTACTAGCATTTATTTCAGCTTGGTAAACTATTTACAGGAGTACCTTCCTTTAAAGCTCAAGTTCAAAAGAAATTTTGTATGTCTCCATGAATTATTAACCCCAGTCTTTGTAAACAGAAATACCACTACAAGATTTAAATTTAACACACAAACAACAGCTAAATAATACACTATATGAGACTAATTTCCTGACAGTAGGACAGAATGCAGCCTACTCTATGTGCCTGTATCATACTTTTGATACCATATACATATGCCAGGCACACACATATTTGTGTCTTATAAAACATTAAAATCTGAGTGTTTCAGTTAACCAAAATGAGTGTCAGGCGTGGGTCTACTCTTCTGCATAGGCAAAAACAACCCTATTTCACTTTCCGGAAAAAAATTTCATTGCTGCTAATAAAGTTATTATTTTAAAAAAATAATCAAAGTTATTTTAATATTTCAGTTTTCATGGTTAATACTTTTTACTGTAATAAGAGCAAACAAAATAATGGCAGTATGTAAGGTGACTCTTAAAGGTTCACTAATTGATAAACCTCAAATATAAAAATTAAATCACTGACTAGTAACTACTCATTCAATTTTCTTGTGTTCAACACAAGAGCTTCCCAGGTTCAGTCATGGTGTATAGACTACATATGTCTATATTCATTAAATACAACAGCTAATGACAACTGCAGCAAAAGACTGCTTAAGTTTTTCCCTGAACCTTGGGACAAATAAAACTCGTTTAAAATAAGATATCTTTCTGTATGAGATTTAGTCCAAACTAAGGTGTTTTATTATTGTCTCAGTATATTAGGCAAATAAAAACTGTATTTGTTTTAAATTTTTAAAAGAAACATACATTCCTACTTCACCAAGCAAATAATCCCATCCCATACGTTGAATGACGTGTATTAACTTTCCAAGCACTGAGCATCAGAATAGTCTTTGGAGAAAACTCTTAAAAAGTGATTAGTTGATACTGTTACAACTTCATCACCTAATTAACACACAACATTTACACACATAACTTCCATGACCAACAGATCAGCAGAGCACCCTCAGGTTAACATCAGTGCCAACCAGTTCTTTAAAGCTTTTTCTTTCATTAATAATTCTGTAATACTTCAGAGGCATATTGTTAGACTAGCATCCTGTTGCAATTGGTGCTGCAAACAAAAGCAAACCCTGCACCAAAGACTTAACAGTCATTGTGCAAGCAAATTGTTTCCTTAAGCCCTCCAAGTATGAGAGGATCATAATCCTGTCATAACTACAGCAAAGCTGCCATTTGTAGATATGTACAAAAATCTTATGGCTAGGTTCAATATTAAAAAGAATTTAACCATGACATGCTGTCCAGAATTGGTAGTTTCAAACAGTCTGACATCTCATCATAGAGAACCTCACATAACAAAAGCTTCGCTCAAGTTTCCCACATATCTTTAAACATCATATATTAATACATGTAAACCTCTTAGCCTACAACCAACCTACTATACCCCCAAGCACATAGTAACATGCAACATGAGAAGTACTTACATAGAGAAAGAACATTGTTCAGTCTTCCATGTGCTGCTTCGTATCTTATTTCCGCTACAGAGAATCCAACAGTTTCAAATAGGCAGTCATTTTTCTAGAGAAAAAGCAATCAATCACTGGAAATACACACAGAGAAGATCTTCTGATACTTTGTATTTTTAAGCGCTTCCTTCCCAAAAGACATTGGCATTCTTGTATTGATAGCTGTCCAGAACACAGAAGATGCTCTACAGAAGTCTACATGGCTAGCCAGATAAATTGCTACTGGTCAAAAATTATCCACCTTTTGTATTGAAATTGATTGCAAAAGACAAGGTTACCAAAAGCAGAAAGAGCAGGACATTTTAACAGTCTGCAATTTTGAATTCTTCAGCAAGTAAAAAAGGAAAAAAAAAATAAATCACTAGAAGCAACCATAATACTTTGAATCCTCAGTCAAAAAAAAGGACAATTAATTTATTTAATTTTCCACTTCACGACACAGAAAGCTAGTAAGTCTTGAGCAAAATATTTTTGTTAGCTCTGAAAAGGAGAAAGAAAAGCAGGAGAAAGACATCGTAAACAGACCATCAGTGCAACAACTTGTTTAAAAATAATATGAATATTCTGAAGAGGCTTCATCATACCACATTCATGTTTAGAGCACTACTGGGATCTAAAGCCTTCATAGAGAACATAGAAAAACAAGCCATGCAAATAATCACTTTTATGAATTCTAAAGGTAAACTCACCTTCAGCTGGGCACGGGCAGTTTCACTATCAGCAAAGTTTTTAAAAACATAGTCCGTGTATGTTTCTGTATCAAGTTCCACCCCCAACGCATGCATCACTTTGAGGACCTCAAATATACCTATCAAAGCAAAATTGGTAAGCATTTCAGAAAAATGAAAACTTGAGAATCAACATTTAAAAATAAAAAGAAAAAAAACAAAGACTTGTCTCCTCAGTTTTGAAACTGCCATGCAAAAATCTGCGTTTATATTTTAGGTGCTACTAAAGTTCTTCATTGTGACACTTAACATAGATTTACTAAACTTCTTGTTCTGTGCGGTACTATCAAAAACATCAAACTCTTGGCTAGTTTGGAAATTGCTAGTATACTAAGTTATTTTCTAATACAGCAAATACATGACAACAACTATTAGTTATGTTTGCAAAACATCTTTTAGAACTATATATCAAATGTCCATATTATTTTGCATAAAACACAAATCCGAAATTTGGTGTAAAGTATGTAATCAAATTCAAGATACAAATGCATTCTTTAATACCTAATACTGAACAAACACATAGCTTTGCTCCCAGTATCCAACACTGACTAGCAAGGCAAGCTTTCAAGATTTGTCTCTAGATTTCTTTAAAACAAACAACATTTTTGTAAGCAACAGGTTGATTAGCAATGCATCAGCTTCAAATTGGAAACTCAGAGAGGGGCTGGAGTCTGCCAAGCCCCAGTGAAGCTACATTATAACTCTTAAAGGGTTCAGATCAATTCACACAACTAGACTGTGTATTACTACTGTTGAAACACATTTGAAAACAACAGATACCAAATATTAATAGTTCAGCAATTAAGACTGTAAAGTTTTAGAGTATATGTCATGGTTTTTAATTACTCACACTCTTCTGATTTGCAGAAACTTCTTACAGTAACCCTAACTAGCAAACTCTCAGCCCCTGTCAAAACAAATACAGGTATTATCATTTTTTGCTGGTCTAAAAATGATTTGTCAGTTGCTGCAGGACACCAGTACCAAACAGCATATGTTTTTTTCAACTTGCATTTCATACTTATTACTTTAAAAATGTAAAGTTTCCCAAAGTCCCTGTCTTTGCCCTGGAGTGCCACCTATGGAAAAGTGACACTTTCATGAATATTTTATGCAGTGCACTATGGTGCAAATAATCAAATGTGAATTCCCTTTGAGCACTTGAAAATACATGCAGGCAAGTCACACTAGATTAAAGTCGCATCATCTGTTCGAGTTTGCCTTAAACAAAACTCTGATTTTGGCCCAGAATCTGCAAAAATATGAATAAAGAACTAATTACACTAAGTCTTTCTTTATACTTTTCAAATTTTGACAGCTAGTTTCTATTTTATGTTTTCAACTTCCCAGAAAAATATATTGTTCTCTTATACTGAAAACTTTTAAAAAATAAGTGTATCTGTATCACTAGAAAGTGGTATAAAGACCAAGAACTAGATACCACAATGAATAAATTGTAGTTTTGAACCTAAAACAGAGCAGAGAAGAGGCCTGTTAAGCATCCCCATTCCCTAGTAGACAATTGCCACAAAACCATTACATGACCTCGCACGGGTCCTGAGGAGGAAAGGGCATGTATGAAGATTAGAAAACCAGCACAACAGTGAGGTGCAGATTAAGGAGGAATACCAGTAACAACACTGCACATAGCCAAATTCATTGTAAACTTAAAAAAAATGCTGTCACACATTTCTTCATTTCTAAGACGGCTGAAGTACAATTTTTGGGGGGAATAGAAGACTTAATGAAAACCAACACAGAATCCTACAATTTTGCACACATTTTCTACCTCACCAAGAACAGAACTACTTTATCATCATATAAATATCTTTCGCAATACAAAGCAATGAAACATTCACACTTCAATCAGAACACTACAAAATTGTCAAATACACGCATAAAATAGGATTTGAGCATTATGTGCGTGGATGTTTAGAAATTCTTTGCTCCTCATATTGGAAAACACACTAACTACTCTCTCCTCAAACCAAAGAACAGACTGAAAAAAAGAGACACAAAAGTGCAGTCACATTGATCTCCCAAACTTTTTTGTAACACACCCCCAATACACGAATGTTTATTTAAAAATTACATAAATGTACTACTGTACTAATGTATTACGCACATTATAAAACATACACAAAAAAACACAGAAATTAAAAAAAGGATTAAATAATTATTTTATTTACTAACAGCCCATTCACACCCCAATGTATTACTGCCTTGCACACCCCACTTTGGAGAGCACTGATCCAGAAGACTGGGTATGACTAAAACCCACAGTAAAGCCTTCCAGCCATCTCCCTGCTTGATCAGCAACAGGTTTTTGAGATCTTGGGCTGACATATGTAAGGACTGCAGGAGCTGAGTATCTAAAAATCAAATAATTGAGTGAGTGAAAAGAGGACAGAAATAAGGAACAAAACACAGCCAAGCTTCTGTTCTCCTTTTTGTCAATACTGCAAACAACACTGGAAGGCTCCAACAGAACAGATTCCAGCCTCAAATAAGTACATCCAAGAACAAATACAGAACAGATTAATTACAAGATAGTCATAATATTTCTGTGGTAGAGCAGAGCAACTTGCTGCTTTTCAAGAAATTAAAAGCAAGACTTGCATTTCAGTCTACCTTTCATTTCCTAGGTTTCTCATGCCTTCTTCCTAAAGCAGTCCCATCAGAACAGGGGGGATTTTTAAATCAGTTACGTACAGTTCTACATGTGCAAGGGCAGTAAAACTGTGCTTTAAGCAGCTTTCTAAGGAAACCAAAAAAATAGAACTCCAGTTCAAAAAGTGAGGTCGCATTCAGGAAAACAATGTAATATTTAATATATTTTTGCTGTGCTATTAATTTCAGATGAACTCCAACTTCTTTACAGAAGAAATGTCTGTCTACAAAACAGTATTTCAAGCAGTTACTTTGTGATATCACCACCCTTATTCCTCTCTGGACTTAGATTCTTATTTCCCTTATTTCCCAAAGTAAAAACTCAAGTACCATTCACTAACCACGCTTTGTGTATATAACAGTCTAGTATAAAAGTGAAATTCACTACTGACTTAATAACTGTCTTTAGAAATAACATGATTAGACAAAGATGAAGGGGAGCTACAATATATTCAGTAACAAACATAAGTCAAACAATTCTGCTTATCTATACTAGGCTCTCCTGTTTTTAGTGTATAATCTGACACAAGATGAATCTCAGTGCCCGTAACAGTTCCAGATCCACCACATATTGATCTTTTAAACCCTCCAAGCACTTTCCATTCCTAAAAGCCCAACGGCATTTACTTCGATAATACTACGGAAATAAGTAATTATCAACTTGAACACCACATCTGAAATTATTCACCTGTGTAAAATGACTGAGAAGAACTGTTTGCTATTTCAGAGTGGTTAAGTTCTCTGCAGCATATTTAAAAATGCCCTTGCTCAGTTTCATTCCTCTCAGCTACCATTTCACTGCTATTTTTCTTTCAAACTCAGTTCCATAATAGAGAAGGAATTTCCTTTGATATCCACTGTCAGCTTTTGTTATAATAAACATTAGATAAACATATAATTAGATGTTGCTACTAGTTATATAACTGTTTGTCACATTATACATCCTGATTCAGACATTTGTACTCTCCAGTTCTAGACACGTTGTAGCTTAAATGTTGCTAATGATTAGTCTATTGTCTACGTTCTATCAGTTTTTTAACAGTTTTTTCTCCAAGTTCTTTTCCATTTTCAGCCTTACTTGTCCTGAGATGCAAAATCACACACATTAGGCTGGGCATTATTAATTTGTAGAGAAAGGAATTATTACCTCATTTTTGGTATGAGATGTGATACAGTGGCTATCTATACTTTTGTTCACACAGTTCTATTATTTTTTGCTCCTAGAAAGCACCATTCTGTTCATTTACTATCTACTGTCACCTTTAGGTTCTCACTGCAACATTATTTTTTGCTCTATTATTTCTATGAAATAATTTCATGGTGGGTGGGTGGGTTCTGCACTTCAACCCCCCCCCCATTTACTTTCCCTCAAGAGTACTGGTTGGTTTTTCAGACAGTGGACATTTATTCAATTTTTAATTATTAAATTTCAAAAAATTAACGTGAGCTTACACATGGGAAAGAACAAGACAACTTGTTTTACTGCAGCAAGAATATTTCCACTGATTCTTCACTGCAGAAGAAATAGCTTAAATATCTTATGTATTTTTAGAATTGCAACACCACTAACTGTTGTAGGTATGCACATACCAGTAATGCTCCCACTTCACAATTCAAACTTGGAGATACCAGGTTACAAAACTGTGTTTGCAATTCCACAGTATTACCACACAGCTATACAGAAGTTTATGTATCCAATGCCTTTGCAGACAGAAAAAGAAAAGCTCTTCTAGAAAAGGGCAAACAGAGCCAGAACTGAGGGTTCCTTCATCAGTTTTCTTCTCAATTTGCTTACATGACTTCCAGCAGGAACTAACAGTCAAAGCACAGTCGATTTCTACAGTAGGAGTCCAAATCAATGTAATCTCTGGTCTTGCCAAAGACCCAAAGCTACATGGAAACTTAAGTTTCTCTTGATGGTTGGATATTGCTCCGGTTTTGGGAGCTAAGTTTAAATTTAAAAATACTTCTGACATGTCTTATAATAGTTAGTGAGGTGAAATTTTCCAGGGAGTAACAGAAAGCATGGGTTTTTCACTAGACAGCATCCACATCGAGAAGTATGACAGTGATTTAAATTTACTTATTTTTGGCAACATTGTACTTCAAGTAAGTCACAAAGGACCCAACCAAAAGAACACTGCCAGACTTTTAAAACATCATGGAACTTGCAAGCATTTGAAAACCTGGTAGAAGATAAACTTGGGAAGTAGTCTAACAGGAACAGAGCCTAAGGAGTTAATAAAAACTGAATATTGTTTTCACAAAGGCTTTTTGAAAAAGACTTGAGACATTTTTATAGTCAGAAACAATTAGGGAATACTTGTTTCAGCATTTCTTCCAAACTGGAATGTGACTGTATATTTAAGATAAAATTGCGATATGAAGAGTCTGCTAAAAGCACCTTTTTTTTGTTTGTGCATTTTGTTTGTCACCCAGTGTCACACTAACAACTCTGCATCTCATTCTAAAGCACATTATACTGTGAGATAAGACGAAAAAGACAGTTTTTTGTTTCCCCAAGGGGGAAGTACTTCTGTTAAAAGCATCTTTTTACAACACCATTCTTTCTGAATTACCAATAACGCAAACCAAAGAATTAGGTACTATACTCTAAAATTTAATATTTTTTCAATTCTTATTCATATCCTGTAGACATCCCCATGTGTAACAGGGGAAAGCATGCTAAATGCTTAAACCTACTTAAGAATCCCAAAGATGGAGAATTTCTGTCCTTCAATCACTATGCTGTCAGGTCAGGCTCACACATTCAGCAATCTAAGTTCTCCTGCAGTTTTTATTATTGTAACAAAACTCTCATTTGGCTTCTCAAGTAGGTAATAAGAAGTCGGCTTGAAAAAAGGCTTGGGTTTGCAGTCCAAGACAACTATTATAACATAACCTTACTTTTAAATGCTTCTCTCAGGTTTCAGTTTCTTCAAGAGTAAACTCTGTAAAAGGCAATGAGCAGCAAAAAGAACTAGCAGAAGGCAGAAAGAATGTAAAGAGCTAAGATAATTAATTAAACTGACTCATATCTTTCTATGCAAAGGTAGACTTTACATTTGTGGAACTGTACCATGATTAAGTAAAAAATGAGTAAAAAAAGACTTGAAAAAAAAAGTCTTTCTGATTGAAAAATTGTTTGCAACAAAGGAAGACATGCAGCAAGGTCTTCATTTACTTTCAAGAGTCTGCTGAATCTCACAGTAATATTTGAATTAAAACACTTGTGGACACATTAATTAAAAGACTTGTGGACTAGGTTTGCAATAAAGCTAGAGGAGCAGGCATCAGACAACTAACCTTCAAGATTCTTTTCTTTCTGGAACCCAACCAGCAGTGGCCAGGAATAGTGAGGTCTGAGTGGCAAGCCTTCCTCTTTCATCATCTTCATCACATCAATGGCCAAGGCTGAAAAACATGCAGAAGATAATTAAACAGCGGCCAAGTGCTTTAAATAAGCATACGTAAAATAACTAAATAAGCAGAGTACCTGATCTGTTGGTCTCCAAAGCGCAACGCAAAATAAACGGTAACGGTGCCGAGTGCATTTTTGCTTCTTTTAACTCATTACAAAATTGCTTCAGCTTCTTCACGGGCTGCAAATAATTTCAAAAATTAATATATTTTTTGATTTCTCAAATTGTTAAAGAATGTAAGATTCTTCTACTGTTTAAGAAATGTATATTACACATGCCAAACATGACTCCTTTGTGAATTTCAATCTACTATGCAAATTGACATGAAATATTAAAATTTTTCTTTTATTATTTAACAACTGTGCAAAAAATCTACCATTTTCCATCTTCACTGTTGTTGCATTAAACTAAATAAATATACTGTTACTAGTATATTAAGAAAAAAAGTGTTGCTATTCTGCATACCATATCTCTATTTACACAATGTTGCAAGAAGAAGCTACCCTGGTCCACATTATCACGTGATAAATGACTAAAAGACTTCAAAATACGGAAACTTATATCTTCGAAGCCGTGAGTTATCAGAGTCAAACACAGGTTCATTGCATCTAGCAAATGAAAAACAGAAAAACAAAATTTTAGAAGTGTATAGAACTATTTTTGCATTAAACTACTAAAATTAGTGAAAACTAGGAAAGTAAATATGTTTTACAAGTATCATTACTCTACTTTTAAACATGAGAAACCAAGCAAATGTGAGACTTCTTTAGAATTACTTATATTTATCAACAAAATTCACTTTTCCCACTAAAAAGACTATGACAAAAATTACAGAAGCATCACCACTACAGCGTGGCAGAAGGATACTGAATAAGAAAAACATATATTTCCAGACACGTCAAAAAAGAAAAAACTGAGTATAATTAACATTTATCAATCAGATTATGCATCCTGGGATCCAAAAGTGACTAACTGTAGATAAAGAAAACTATATTCAGTGTTCAGTATCCTTTTTTATGAGTTTTCAAAGAGCTGTCACAACAGGAATTACAGAGTTGTTTAAAGGACTCCACACTTACTGCTTTCCTACAAAATCTTAATGAATTTGAGAAGTTTAAAAAAATTGACAGATTAATTTTTATATGTAAACTATTAAAATTGGTCTATATTTAAATTTTATAGAATGTGATCTAAAGCAGCACAAATGAAATCACAAACTAAATGGCAAAAATATTATTCTCCCTAAGTATTCAAGAGAAACGTACAAAATTACCTATTTTTGGTAACATTAGTGACTGTTAAAAAAAAAAAAAAAAAAAGAAAATGCTTTCCCTCTCCACCCTGAGTAGCAAAACACTGCTGTAGTAATGAAGGACATACCTGGAATTAATTCCCTTTCAAACCTTATGCGTTCTTTAATATCTTCGATGTACTGAGGATATCCAGCCTTGGCAAGGCTAAAAATCACCTGCATCAAAATCCTATCCATAAGGTACCCTTCCGTCTTCTCAACCTCTTCTAGAGTCTGTAAACCAGAATAAATTTAACTTTAATAAACTCCAAAGTGACTCAAAACAGGATACATTAAAATAAATTTAAAAAAAATAAATCACAAAAAGCTGGGGTTTCTTCCTTTTATAAAACCATGGGTTTAGATACATGGAATATGGCTGAGAGAAAAAGATGTGTAGACAGGGCCCCAAACACCTTTAGATTGTAAAAAGAAAAAAGTGATAAATAAAAGCGATTTATATATAATACATCCTTTCTCTCTAATAACATAGGAAAACACCATAATTGTGAGACTATTTTCAAAATAAACTACTTTGAAAAGGGGAGAATGATTAACCAAACTTTTTATGTTTGGAAGAAGGCTGGTTGATAAAGATTTTTTAATTTGTAAGTCAGAGAACAATATTATGTTTCCAACATCATCTTCCTTGATTTGGTCCTCTCCATCTGATACTACTTATTAACCTCAAGTCAAATTTTCTCATTTCTTTCCGAATACTTCTTTCATGTACAAAAATAAGTGAGAGAGAATATTTGAAAAAAAAAAAATCATCTACACAAAAGGCTGAAAAGCAGCATTACCTTGTCCACACTTCATGAATATCAGAGTTGCTGGTGTGAACTCTCAAAAAAAATTAAGTTTTACTGGAAAGACCCTGAGGATTCAATGGGAGCAAGGTAATCAAGGTTTACTTTCTATTTATTTTCATTAAAAAAAGACACAAAATTCTCACGTGCACTATTCGTCTCTCAAAAAACCCCGAGTTATGAAATCGCACACTGGCAAATGTATTTTCTCAGAGTGAAAGGCAACTATCAAAAGATAAGTATTTGTCATGAAGTGTGAGACTGCTTTCAGTTAACCAGCTATTCAGATGCAAAAAAAAAATAAATTAATTGCTGCAGACTATGAGGAAACAAGTTTTAAAATTCAGCATTATTCCTCCTGCACAGACAGAAAGCATTCCAAAGTTAAATTGCACAAAAGATTGAGCAAGTTGTACTTAAACTCAAACTCGCAGTACCTTTTTGATGCTATCAGCATCCCCCTTTTCAGCATATACATTCAACAGTGATAAATAGGTGTCTGGACCTGGTTCAACACCAGCCATCCTCATCACTGAAAGGATATTTTCTGCACTCTTCATATCTCTAAAAGAATTCAAAAGAAAGACACCCAGTAGATTTAATAATAATAATGTTTATTGTGACTTACATATTTCCTTATTAAATTAATTAGAATTGGAAACAAAGACTGCAACAAGCATAGAGAAACTTATTTTAACTAAGCAAATCCTGAAAGGTGAAAGTCCAAATCTTTTAATTACTGTATTGCTTAGAATACTCTTTTAACAGTTGAAAAAGTTCAAAACTAGGTGCAGCAAATTTATTTTTCAAACAGTGCAAAAGTACAGTAATTTATCTTGAAATTCAAGATCTTCAGACACAAGAAAAAAAAACTACTTCCTTTGCTAAATAGCCCTGCTCTGCTCAAAAAAATGTATAAAAAGACAGTCTTCTATGCATTATTATTCAAAACCATCATGCTATTCTGCAGCATGTAATTTTTCTGTACATTATCACTTTACATTGTAGTAAAACTAAAAGAAAACAAAAGAAAAAAGGTATTAAACATTACCCTGATCTTGCATGACCTTTCACAAGGCTACTGAATACTGCCTCAGTGATTGGGAGATCTTTGTTCTTCATAAATCCAAGAATCTTACTGAAAAAAAACAAAACAATGACTGTTTAGAAATTTTTTTTTTCCTTTTAAAATATAAACTACTGAGTTATTATTGCTCTGCTGGACACCTACTGTATCCAAACAAAATGAAATCCTGATGTCACTGAGCAATTACATTTGGGGATGCTGCATAATACACCCATAATTTGGTAATTTTCATTTTTCCAGGTGAATTGTATTTGTCACTTTGAAATATGCAGACACAAAGATGAGGCTGGTTTTTTGGTTGTGGTTTTATTTTTTTTTTTTACTTTTATCTTCCTGTTACTTATTTCTCATGCCCAGCAATCGCACTGCTGCAAATTAAACTCGCACTGCTGCAAATTAAACTTGCTAAAATTAATCTGTTAGATAACTAGAAAGCCCTGCGTAACAACAACAAATAAAATACTATTTGCTCCTTTGCCCACTTTGTTCTCAAATGCCTTTCCTAGTAGCCATTTCCTCACATAGGCAGTAAGCCTTCATAACCTCACACTTCCTCACGCTGGCTCTAGAAATGGCAACACAAGTTATTTTCTGAACAACTTGAACACAATTTGATTTGAACACACTGGTTTATCGCTTATTTTTATTTTCTTTGTGTAGGTTCCAGCCGTCTCCAAGAAAATGCGCTTCAGTGCCTGGTTAAAACACACTTAAACCTCCTCTCTGCTTTGCTCAGTTTATAAGAATTACACTGAAATGAGTTTTAACATTAATGGTAGGGAATACGAGAAACAGATTTTGTGGAAAACCCTTTAAACAGAAATGCAGAAGAATACCTTGCTCCTTCAATGTCACCCTCATTGCAATAAGCAGCAATCAACCTTTGGTATGTAACCTACAGGAAACAAAATGAAAAGTTAATGATTTCCATACAATAAATGGATATTACTATTAAGAATAAAGACACCATAAAAGGGTACCTACTCGATTGGGCTGCACATTAGCTTCCTCCATTCTGGCCAAGAATTCTGTCGGAGAAAATTTATGCTCGTTCTGAAGGTAGACCTTAAGTAAAGCATTATAATGGCTTGTATCATACACAGCACCTAAGGAAATATTTCAACCACAGTCAGTGAATGTAGATTCTCCAAATTGAACGCAATTTTATAGCTCTCTCAGGTAATTAATTTCATATAAATGTTATTCTGTATGTAATTTATGTATAATCAGGCTGCTTCCTTTTATGCACCTTTGAAATATAAGACATCTATTTAACAGCACACATCTGTTTATAAAAGGCTAAAACATAAGAGCATATAACATCAATGCTCCTGTGCATGCTATTCTACACTCTGCAGCTTTATTTAGTTTACAGATTCAGCAATATTACTCTCAAGAAGTAGTTCACCTATGCAACATCTATAGATAGATGACTAACTCAAAATAAAAAAATAATCTCATAAAATAGCTGGTAGCACTACAAATACTCAGCCCACCAGACATTAAGGTAACATCTAACAGAGAAGTAAAATACATTCTTACTATAATCAAAATCAAAAGTGAGATTTAAGCACCTTAAGAAATAAAATCTTTAAATTTACTATTAACACCCCTAGATGTCAGTATAACTCCCAGAATAGGAAACGTGTCTCTCACCTGAATAATAAAACCTAGCGTTTATTTGGTAATGAGAATTTGTCATTATAACCTAACATTTAAACACTATTAAAATACATTCGGTCATCTATTTCAAAGAAAGTAACAAAAGCACATTGCTGTTCTTGCAAGAGGGACTAACAAAACCAACCTACCCAGTTCTTTCATTTTGTCCCATATCATATGGGCTAGTTCTGTTCTTTCAGGAGACAATACCTCTGGTAAAAGAGCACCACAACTTCGCAGCAAAAGCAAGGTCTGGTTGCTCCCTGGACACCCTGCAAATGGAACACAACCACAAATTTCTTTATAAATAATTACGCATCTAATATCGGAAAAAAGATTCAAGACTGACTCACTGAAATATTTAAGCATTTTGTATAAAACAGGTATCTTCTTCAAGATTGAAGATTTTTACTTCACAGGACACCCAAATCATTAAACAATGACACTATTGTGCGCTATCATACCAAAGATTCACAATAAACATGCCATGAAGTACAATAATGAGCTCAGATGAGCAGAAATTTTCAAAAGTACAACACAAAATACTAAACTTGTATGATCTAGTACTTCAAATTTCCCCATCCAAGATCCATAGATCCTAACACGGACATAACTTTCTGGTAGATCTCTAAAACTGCACAAGACCTCATACCAATTCCATACTATTCCAAAACTGGCATTCAGAGACATTGCACATTTAAATTTCCATTTCCACTCCTGTCCATGCTCGGTATCTAGAGAACAGTGAAGGAAACTCTAAAAGCTTCTGCCTTCTCTGACTTCTGTACTTGACCCAGGATGTCAACAAAGCAACTATAAATCAATCTTTCTTGGACTCACTACTACACCTGAGGCAACGTAAGGCAGAGCTGCAGAATCTACCACAGATTACCCAATAAATTGGAGACAGAATTTTTTTCAATCCCATCTTTATATGCAAACCCAGCAATTTCTAATAAAAAAGAGTTTCTTTAGAAAGCAGCATATTGTAAAGAAAAAAAGTAGAAAAAAGTTATCTATCCCTTTCCTATCATAGAGAAAGGTATACTTAAGAAGTAATTTCATCTAACATGGAGCAAGATAAATGTTCACATAGAACATAAATAATGAAAACAATATGTAAGGTTTTCTAGTTGAGAGACACACATATACAGACTTCAAAGATTCAGACTTCCAAAATGACTTGAAGTCTAAAGCATCAGTAATGCTTTGTAAGCTACTTCCAAATCATCATGCCAGCACTCCAAAGTTGTGGACTGCACAGCACAGAGTCAGGAGCTGTTGCCACTAAAGGTATCTCCAGCTGTCAAGAGTCACTGTAAGTGTAATTTTTAATCATACAGAGCTGTAGAAACAGCTATACAGACAAAAAATAATGTCATAATAAAGTAAAAAGAAAAAACCCACAAACTTCAACTGCAAAAAGCTATATACTGTCTAGAATTAGATCTTCAGGTACCAAAAAGGACGAGCAAATCTAGGATACCACATAACTATCGTAAACTATGTTTCAAGAGTGCAATCTACAGCAGAAAAGTTCATAGAGTAAACTCATCTGGGAAGAGACACAGACAGTAGTGGGGAAAAAAATAAGCAATAATAAGAAAAAAGTAATAAGTTAAAACATTGAGAGGGAGTAGGTACAAATTGCCAATGCGGATTGGAACTTCTGAAAACATAACAGAGTGGTGAGACAAGTCATAGAATCATAGAATGGTTTGGGTTGGAAGGGACCTTAAAGATCATCAGGTTCCAACCCCCCTGCCATGGGCAGGGACACCCTCCACTAGACCAGGTTGCTCAAAGCCTCATCCAGCCTGGCCTTGAACACCTCCAAGGATGGGGCATCCACAGCTTCCCTGGGCAACCTGTGCCAGTGTCTCACCACCCTCACAGTGAAAAACTTCTTCCTAATGTCTAGTCTAAGTCTACCCTCTTTCAGCTTATACCCATTACCCCTTGTCCTCTCACTACACTGTCTCATCAAGAGTGTCTCCCCATCTCTCCTGTAGGCCCCATATACTTGATTAACTTTTTAATTCCTGCATTGAATTAGTTCCTGCGATAAAAATGCCAACACAGTATCATAATGCCAGCATTATACTAGTGACTGAGTACCCTGAAAGGCAAAAGAAACAGGAAAAAGTTTAGCAGTGTGAGTATGGAAAGCTGCAGGACAAGAGATATACAGCAAGTACCTTCTTTGTAATTACAAATGGAAGAACAACACAAACACAGACAAATCTTTAAGAAATCAACAGTAACTATCCTCCCATGTTTTTGCTAAATTACTTTTAAACACTACTAAAGAAAAAAGGGCTGAATTTTTCATAGGGAAATATTCCTCATTTTAATAGCATCCTAGTTAAATCTCTTGTGAAGTTCTATGCTTTTCTTTTTCAATATACTTACACAGTCAAAGGAAACCACTATATAAGCAATTAATTTTGTTGTTAGTATGACTTCCTAAAAACTGTGTAATCAAAGATCACGAAGAACTGTGATTTGCAAAGCTTAGAGGCACAGAATTCTTGCCAACCCACACTTGCAAATTATAACTGTTTTAGATATAAAGTCAAAGCAATCAGAAAGGATATCAAAAGGAAAAAACTAAGTAGTTCAACAGAAAGAGAGAATGAAGACTCAGATTTTAAACAGTAAACCGCAAAACTTTTAAAAGCAAAATCCCAAGTATACAAGCCAATAACAGTCCAGAGCAATACACAACGTTTAAAACTAAAACAAAACAATACAATACATGCTGCCATTGATAAATATTCGCAATAGTATCTAGTGAGTATATTTAGCAAACATCTCCATTGAATCATCCTAACTGGTACTCAACCTCATCAACTGTGACAGCTGGTTTGCAAAATATTAATATACACTGGCGATTTTTAGCCAAAGGGGTATTAAATCTGTCTGAATTAACAATGCCTCAGCTGTTTATTTTTGTTTTATTCAAAATAATAAAACTCGTTTGTCCTGAATAACCACAGCTACCTGGGAATGCAGAAACTTGGGGACCATCTCCATGTTTCCCTTTATAGTTACATTTCAAAACAAACAAATTCTTGAAGGGCAGCATGGTTTGTTACAGACATTTTAAAAATATGCTGTGCAAAACAGACAGATACGACGATCCCTGTTCAGAGTGCACATACAGTTACATGAGGAAGGTGAATATGATAAGATTTCTTAAAAGTACACTGAATTTTTACAAGACTTATAAATTCCCAAAGACAAAAAAACCTGGAAAAGTAAACACGTACATTCAAAGCAAAATAACATCTTTAAAACATTTAAAGCCTGTTCATCAACATATGCAGCAGATTAAACAACACTCAAAGACAAAAATATGAATCATAACTCTTTCAATTAATCGCCCTGGTTTGATGAATCGTTATATTGCAGCTTTAAATTTAGCTTTTATTTTGTTTTAATTGGAAGTGACTTACCTGTTTTGCATATTTCATGGAAGATTTTTAGTAGAAGAGTTTTAGGGATGCGACCAGTTTTTCTGACAGAGTTATCCAGTTTATTTAATGCCCAGTCAAACTGCCAGGTCTGACTGTTTGGAATTTCTGAAATCGGTTCTTCCTTAATACTTCCCTCCTGTTGAGGTGCAACTGTAAGGAATCTTATTTGGTACATGTTTCTGCTGAAATAAAAACAAACAAAAAAGAGAGATTACACTTCTGTATCATTTTGCAACTACACTAGTCACACAATATCAAAAAGATAATGCACTTTTTGCTGATGAGAAGTTTCTCAAAAACTTTCCATATTTATACAAACAAACAAATGTAGGTGATTCATTTCAGTGTCTTTCCACTTAAAAAGCTATAGCCATGAATATTTTCTCACAGTGACAACTGCTTATTTGAGAATTTCAGTTGGATTCACCTCATGAGTTAAATGGTTCAAATACTACTCCCACAAAAATAAAAATTTTGAAGTCATCCAAGTGCTATAATATCCTATTGTCCCATTACGGCTTCTCAAAACAGCTCTCATATGCTTTTGAAAAATCACTCCAAGAACAGTCAACAGACATCTCTTCCAGAACACAGTAGATCAAGGCTGCAAATCATACCTTTTTTTTTATTTAAAACACACAAAAACTAATGCAGAGGCCATTTTTTTTAGACAACAATGGCTTAAAGAACAACAGGATCAGTCCCCATTCTGCAGAATTTACATTAGCAAACATCAAGCATCCATCCTGATGGAAACCAAACACCGGCACTAGATTTGTTTTAGTACTTATTTTCTTAAAGTATGACAATAAGAAACATGGTGGGAAAGTATTCTTATTTCTAGCAAAACAATAAGAGCTTGCCATTTTTTTTTTTTTTTTAAAGAACAAGTTGATGTACATAAGAATAAGAAAATAGCATTTGTGCCATGGTGGAACAGTGAACAGCCTATGCAGGTAAAACTAACATTACACACAAGCATTTTTGGAAGTCCGTTCTCAATTTCTGTAAGGTCTCTATAGACCAGTTTGAAAAAACCTAGTTGTCCTCCCTGTTGTTACAGATGCTCGAGGAGTCCAATGCAGTAATGGCTGCACTTCTCCTTGAAATGGCAGACTAAAATTGAGGAGTGCTGGCATTCTCTACAAAATGACTTCCCACACCTGGAGATTTTTCACAGGTATATCTGCTGGTTGGTTTCTCACCAAGCAGTGCTAGTTTAAGGCCCTAGGAGAGGAGGTCCAGTGGAGGAGAAAAAGCTTGCTGGCAATTCAGTATTTCAGCAGCATCAGCAGCAAGCTGCTAAACATCAGAAAAATCATCAGTGGGGCACATATCAGTGTGGTTGAAAAAACAGGCTGGTGGTTTACCAGGTGGTTGCCTCTTATAAGTAGGAAGTAGCCCAAAGACTACCTTTTTCCTTACTGTTTGAAATTCTGATTTGATTATTGAGCAGACTGTAAGTTCTAGGAGTAACATTCTTTAAATAAAACCATCCTCAAGCAGAATCTTTCTTAACAGAGCTGTGAGAACAGTTTAGTAGAAGATCCGTTTGATTTTTGAAGGCATTAAAAAAAAAATTGTTTAGTAATAAGGAACACTGCTACGGTTTGGCATTATCTTTTTTGAGCACGCAAATTTTACACTGCCCAATCTCTTCAAGTTTCCTCCTGAGCAATCTTCCAGGGGCCAGTAAATTATCTGCATTTTTTTTTGGCTAGAGAAAGGACAAGGAGGAAAGAATTAGAGAAGTGAAAAAAGACTGACAAAAAGGAGAGATCCCCTCCTTCAGGCTCAGTTAGAGATTGGAAGGGACCTCAAAATCATCTAGTCCAATCCCCCTGCCAGAGCAGGAACAAGTTCTGTCTCCTAGATTCCTCTGGGCTGGTTCTCATTTTATTCAGACCCCTATGTGAGCTTATTTAACTCACTAACCTGGCACAATACTAATTCAGCCACCTCTACAGAAAACCCAATTACTGTTCCATCATGTTACAGTGGAAACAGCTCATGATGTCCAAAAAATCACCAGAATGAACCAGAAAAAAGAAATGGAGTAGGAATAGGTGGCTAAAATCAAAGGAACTAGGAAGAAAAAGAAGAAACTGAAACACTACTTTTGATAGTAAGCAGCTAATCAGATTAACGCTATCAAACTTTTTTTTGTCACTAGTTATGCCATTTCTCACTATAAGTATTTCCAAGGATATCATTTTCCCTGACTCTTTGCTTGCTTCCTTCCTTCTCCTCTTCTTCTACCTCATGATTTAATCAGAGACAAGGTACTTTCCATAAAAGGTAAATCATTAGACTAATTAGAGTAAAACCAGTAGTGCAAGGTAAGAATAACATTAAAATAAAAAAAATCTTAAGTCCTCTTGAGTGTAACAACCAAATGAGATGTCTACAACTAGATAAACTCTTTAATAACACATAAATGACAATATTCAACTATGAGCTAGCCACTGGATAGCTATAAGGAATAAACTGTAATGACAGTAAGTTCTTTATGTTTTCTTTAAGGATATAGATAAAAAAAATAAAATTGTATCATCCACTCTTCTATACCCATTGAAAGAGATACTTGAAAGCTTTTCAGAATACTTCAAGTCAGGTTGGAAGAAATGCTTTGGAAGCAAGCAGCAACACAGGACTTATCGTCTTTTTAATACAGAAATTTATACTTTGATTTCATAGAATCATAGAATGGTTTGGGTTTGAAGGCACCTTGAAGATCACCTAGTTCCAAACCCCCTTGCTGCGGGCAGGGACACCTTCCACTAGCCCAGGTTGCTCAAAGCCTCATCCATAAAGTCTTAAAGTCATATAAACCGTTTTCCAACAGAAATACTTAATCAGCAAATCAGCCTACAAAGATCAACTTTTCATTCTGGCCCTAACATTAGTTGCATGCAACTAAGTGGTGACAACTGAAAAACAGCTTCCAAAAAAATGCAAACTTAACAAATCAAGGGACGCAATATCAGGTTTGATTTCAAGGCAATCAAGTGAAGGACAGAAGAATGCAGTAGACAATACACTTATTGAAAATTGATATTAATGGCACAACCTCCCCATGAAATAGAAAAAGAAGTCAACAAAATGGAAATTATCCATGCATCAGTCTTTAACAACCTTCTGTGATTCTTCTTTAATTTTTAGAAGTTGAGAAAGAACATACAATTAAGGAAAATTTTTTAAAAGGCAAAGATAAAAATCGAGAAGACCAAGTTAACCGTATCCGTCAGGAAGTCACACAAAAAGGCAGCAAGAAAGTCTTCTAAATATAAGAAAGATTATTTTAGAAAATACATATACCTCTTAAATAAAAAAAAAAATTCAGATCATACATCATTTAGCTTTAAAAAAATGTTAATTGCAACCACACTACATAAACTTTAACTATTTTATCATGACTAAATTTTAAGAAGGAGATGGGGGTGCAGGTGAGAATAGGGAAGAATGAGTTAAGTAATTCTGGAAATATTAAGGTATGTTATACTTAAGATACATTAATGGACCTGAGTCAATTTCCAATCCTTTGGAATTACCTTCAAAAAATCATGAAAGTTTTGGGAAAAACAGAAGCATAACAAAAAAAAAAAAAAAAAGATGGATTGCTGTACTGGCTTTTGGCACCTGACAATCTCATAAGCAAAACAAGGAGATACCATGTACTTTCAGTTACAAAAATATGGATGCAGTAGTTAATATATAAATACAAAATTAAAATGTGCTGATCAGGGTTTGTTCGGAAATTGGGAATATACTTTGTGGGAATTCTAAATTAAGCCATGTCCTGACCCAGCCGGGGCAGCACTGGTACGATTCATACCCATTCAATAATTTCATTAACAATTTGCATGACAGAGGAGTTAATAAACTTTTAAAATTTGTAGACACACTATAATGGTGGGAAACTCTTGGAAAGAGCACCTCAGACTTCAAAGTTATCTTTATTACTTGATGAAATGGTCTGAAATCAACAAAAATGAAATTCAATACACAAAGAAAGTTTTACATTTTGGACAAAAAAAGCACATGCAGAAATGTAAAACTGTGTACAACTGCTAGACAACAGACAACTGAAAAAGTACTGAAAATGAGCCACTGCTAAACATGAAACATGCAGCAAAAAATAAAAACTCAATTCTTCAACTCCTAATAAAAGCAACACAGATAAAATACAGAGAGAATTCTTCTGCTTTTCATGGTGTGTTTACTCACAGAAAAACAGGTTTAAAAGACTGAACTAACCCTTCCCTCCCACTCTCCAAAAAAAGAAGCAGCTGTACCCAATCCATCAGGTAATACACTGGTAATACCAATTGCTGTAACACTAATTGTAACGAAATATTAGAACAGAATTAGACAGTAAAACTTTCTCATTCGGAAGCTTATAAAATAAGATTGAGACAAGAAAATCAATTATGCATGACCTTGGCATTGCTGATCCTGCCTCTCTGCTAGATGCTAGATTACATAATCATATGATGTAACCAGATTTTTTCAATAATTTTTATTAACTTGTTCAGAATTAAATGCTATGCTACGCAGCAAAATGCCCGATAGCTCTGCAAGGACCACAATGGGTGCCAAGTATTTACTTTCACCAATAACCACTAAAGGGTATTTTAAGATTTTTCCATGTGAAACATTGTACTTGCAAGCTGAACAAAAAAACTTCAGATCTGCGTGGATTTGCAACCTGTTTCTTTCCCAACATGCATGATTTCTCTTTACGATGCTTCAGAACTGTGTTTCCTTGTACACACCCAGAGCAGCCCAAAAGGATACATAAAGTCCTATAAAGAGACCCCTCCTAGTCCCTCAATCACAGTATTAGAAGTCACCTTACAATATTTGACCCTTTGCATAACTGTACCTTAACAACATTTTCAGATTTGTCTCTACAATTGTGAGGCTTAAAAATGTAAACCTTGCCTACATAGGTCAACCAATTATGTTTGTAATCCCAACATACAGCCACTCACTGTTTAGCAGCAACTTCTCATCTCTCATTTACCTTACAATGTCTGGAAAGCAGACGAAGCTAAACTCACAAAAAACTCAGGCTGAAGTTAAGTGTGCACAAGGAAATTTATACTAAGTTAACTAGTAAAATATTTCTATGTTTGCAAGAGTTTCAGAACCCGAGTACTTACATGTTTTCCAT